GCAACACTAACCCGAAGAAAACGGGGAAAACTCATTTGCTCAGCTATACTGGGAACACTCAAAGCTTAAGCAAGTTTCCATGCACACGAGAGGATAGTTCCCCTTACTGCAATGCAAAGTGTACTAAGAGAATGGGACAGAGCCAGTAAAACAGAGCTTACGAAAGCCACTGCTCACAGCCACGAGGCAGGACAGCTATGTCACAACAGTGGAAACAGAAGTATTCCTACTCACCAATCAGTGTTTTCAAACACTGGCCTGATGCTGTATCCCAGATTCGACTATTAAAAACAGACAAGAATCGTTACTATTGGTTTTGAAGTCGTTTTTTTTTTCTTAACATTTTAATTTTAACATTACAAACACAAGCCTTATTAAAAAAATAGGACCTTTTTTTTTTTTAATATAAAAGGTTTAAACAGTGCTGCAGACAAGGAATAACCACTTACCAGAGTCCATCATAGCTACTTGACACTATCAGGGATCCATCCCGATTGAAATGCACCTGTAACATCACAGAAGGGGAAAAATAACTTTACGGATGTTCACAAGGACCAAAATTTTAAGCCTCACTGAAGGTATTTGTCTTCCATTCCTGACACTGCAATTCATGTGGAAAGAAGCAGAAAGTCCACCTGACAAACCACAGGCACAAGTTTAGATTGGTAACACGATTAAAACCAAGATTCTTGCCCCCCCAGTTTGTCTGGCATAATTATAAAGAGGGATGGATGACAGCTACAGCTGTTTAAGCGTCAGGGACTGGAACACATGTTCCTTCAGAAGCTAAGAAGGACATGAACACACACACTCTGTTCAGAAGCATCAGCTGCTCACATAAGAGTAGTATCACATCTCAGCACAATACCTTATAATTTCAAGGGCATGGAATTTAACCTCCTATGTAGCCACAGATCTGGTTTAAGGTTAATTTAGTCCCTTGAACGACACCTCAAAATACTGTTATATTAAAGAACAATTATTACTAATGTTCACTTGTAAGTGTGAACTATCTTCTCCACAAGGCAGAACAATCATGTTACGATAGCCATGGTTTAGCACATCTGAGGCTCCATTTTTTTTCAGTTTCCTTAACTGCAAAACTATTAAGAGTTGAACACCTCCTGGTTTTTCTTTATTTGAATGGATACTGATGTATTCCAAGTTCCTTTTACCTATTAAATGATACTTGAAACAGAGCATATTATGGAACTACCCTGCTCTGGACTTCAGTAACAGCTTAGAGCAACACAAAAGCAACAGATGCACAGGCTGTTCTCTGAGCCCCAAGTGAGACCTGTGCCCCAGCATCAGCCTGCTAAACTTTGGCATGACTACCACACCACTGTTCACTGCTCTCCGAGACCAAAATCCGTATCGATCCTACAGGAAACACCATTCAGTTCATTCTCTTTGAGCAACAACCACTGGCAAATTTACCACAGCCCATGCACTACACTGTGTAACAGCTTGATAGTAAGAGTCAGAGCACAAACCCACTTCTCCAGAGTGGCAAGAGAGGAGCTCTGCTGAACAAAATAAGCACATAAGTGTGTTCATGCATCAGAAGGGACTTACAGCTGAAACTGGGTCAGAATGAGCAGGCAACGTCTTGAGGCACTTCCCTGTTTTCACATCCCATATCCTCACGCTTTCGTCAAACTGAAGATTGAAGAAATGCACAAGGTGGTTTAATGATGCACCTATTCGAGGCATGCAAGGTGTTACAGCTTGACTAGATGCACGTGCCTTCCTCCAGCTGCACTGCAGCTGCATCAGAAAGCCTACGACACAAGCACCACACGGCAAAAACCACAGACTGGGATCACAGCTCCCTGAACTCTCCCTCTCCATGCAGGAAACCTGCAGGTTCAGGATGGGTCAAGGGCTTGACTGTGTCCCCAGGGAAATACAGCAGTGGCACTGCACAGTTCACCTGACTACAAGCTGTTTGTGGAGGAAGACAGACAATTGAAATGGTAAGGGGTTGCAACTGGTAGCCCCTGCTCCTGACCCTTGGTAACGTGGCTGGCATAACTACTGCCAATCCACAAGGCAAGCAGTCACTCTGTGACTGAGCAGGTCACGTATTCCTTCCCTTTCCCGCATTATCAAGCCCCGAAGGTCCTGTGGACCAAAACAAACAAACCATATTGCTTCTTCCCCCCGCTAAGGCCTCAAGATTCCTGGGTGCCAGGCTGGCTACCCTCTTCCTCACCAGCCTTGAAGGTCCCAGGCACCCGGCCAACCCAGTGGTGGTGATCACCCACCCCAGAACAGGGAAGCGTAACAGCACCCAGAGCACTGTCTACAACCCTAAGTGGGAAACCTGAACCAGAACTGCTTCTGGGCAGTGAGATCGTGACCCCCTGGTAGCCAGGGACACTCCCACCACCGTCTGCTGCCTCCGAGCATTGAGTGAATGACTCGTATTCTTTCATTTTATATGATTTTTGAGTTCAGATTATGATTGTTATATTGATACAGCAAACCACGTATTAAGATCTGATCCAACCTGCAGAGGACCCAGCCGATTTGAAGTCAAGACTCTAAGTTAAGTTAGAATCTAGGTGATTAGAAATGGTTGTATTATAATTTCTGTATTACACTACCTATACACTGTACTACACTGATTGTGCCTGTAGAGATCCTGTGCCATCCTAATCACAAATTCTGTGCTATACTACTAATAATATCCTTTTAAGAAAATAAAACCTTAACTGTAACTCCAATTTAGTGCTGTCATCCTCCTGCAAGGATCCCTAAAAACCTGCCTGTCCCCTCAGCGCTGGGTGACAGGGGTGTGCAAGTATTTGCTTTGCACAAAGAAAAAAATAGTTTAAAAAAAACACTTACTGATCCAGAAACGATGAGGTTTGACTGAGGGTTGAAGTTGCAGCAGAAAACGTAGTTACTGTGCCCTTTCAATGTCTTTAAGCACTTACCCTGAAATAAGATTTAGCAGAGTTAAATATACAGCACCCTTCCGTGCCATAAAGGCATTCAGATAAGCAGCATTCAGGTTAATCACTGTGCAGCACACAAAAAGCCCCAAAATCTCTAACCCCAAATTTCAATGGACAGAGGGCCAGCTACAGCAACAGGAAACAAAAAACCCACATTTTTAATGACTGCAGCCAAGTCGTGCCTTCGGGCGACTCAGGAGAACCAGACAGTTTAACATACCTAATCAATATTCAACCCAATTACCCGGTTACCATTGTAATCACAGAAAAGGAAGGGGGAGAGAAGCAAAACCAAGTGAAGCAACGATAAGAAGTTACAAAAAGGTTTCCTCTCAGAGGCTGCTTTCAGACACGAAGACTGCAGTTGCGTAAGGCTTAAGCGCTCTCAGAAGATAACCAGACTCCTCATGGAGCAGCCCCTAATTCCAAAAGCAGATAGCATAACTCACCCACCCTCACAGCCCATTCACCCAGCAGCTCACGACAAGCAGGAA